ATTTTCACAGAAACGTTCGATTGTTGATAATCGAGAACGACGAAATAGTTGTTGAATTTCAATAGAATTTGTACAATCATAAGCAGTTTTACCAGATTTATTTTGTAAAGTTCTCGCACAAATATCTTGTTGATTGAGTAGTAAAATAATAATATCTTTGTGATTATTTATACAAGCAGTATGAAGTGGTGTATTACCATCTTTTCGTTGATGATTGATCCTTTTATAATTCATTGTAAGTAATGATTGATGAACTTGTTCAACATTACCATTTTTACAATTATTATAAAAATCATCATCATCATCTATTTTTGATTTTGAAACACCTGACTATAAATAAGATAATAAAACAGGAAGATTATTTATGCATCAATTTAACTTACACCCATCGTTTGATATTTTATTCACTAATGAATTTATTTTATTGTACACAAAAGTAAACGTGAGTCAGAATAGTTTGTATGTATTAAAAGTAGATTTGAGAGAAAGAATGACTTGATGCATTGATGAAAGAAACCATATTTTTGTTTTTTTTTTTACATTTCAGTTTGTGCAATAACAATCAAGTTTTTTTAACATAAGTATTTATCATGCCATAATCTAATTCACATGTTAAAAAAGAAAAGATACAACAGCAAAAAAATCAGCTATATAGAAAGATAGAGAGAACAGGGTTGCGAAATCGAAATTTTAGAAATCAGGAATTTTTCGTTAAAAAACACGAGTTGATCAGAAGATTTTCCTTAGAAAATAAGGAGATTTTTTTCTTTAAACCAGAAGAAAATACAGCAGTGTCACGCACTTTTCCCAAAAAAGCAAAGCTTTTTATTCTCAAATGTTTACAGTTTTGGTTCTTAATAAGTGATTTAATAAGACGATCTATCTTACCATTGAAAACTACAAATAAAACTGATATAAGATACGTTTGTAATTTTCTTCAAAGTGAATTTGTTTGTTTAACAATTCTACATTATTTCAAAGATTTTCGCATTTAATTTTGAGCTCGACATCCATTAAGATTACTTTTTTATTCTATTCGTGTTATCATATCGTCAAAAAGTTTGTGTAACTGGAACTTTGACTCATGATTAGTTCTTTAAACTCATTAATTATCGGTCCATAGTAGTACTGGAATCAGATCGAATCTAACAAGATCGATCATGTTTCTAGCGATAAAAAAACCTAATATAGCGTACACATTACTGGTGGAGTTGGTAAAATAAGGCATAAAACACACGTTGTCTAATTATTTATTGTAATGCTCAGGTAAAAATATGATTTTTGTTGCATGTCTCATATATGCTCTTCGAAAGTATACCATCGCACAAAACTCTTTCCTCTTTTAATTTCTTTTTTATCATACCTTGTATATAATTTATTGTCGAGTGAAATATAACTTCAGAGTTTTATTACATTGTGATCGTTTTACCATACTGAAATAAAACGCTTAAGTCATATCTCTACTAGACAATAAATTTTATAC